TGTACTTTAATAAGTTTCACAGTATCCCACCCAGAAAATGAAAGGCAATATAAAGCAATAACCGCAGTAACACTATAATTATTCCTACTGCTCTTGGAGAACCTCCAAAACTAAGCATCCTCCAGAAGCATTAATATACATTTTCCTGAATGGATTACTATTCTGGGCCTAAGAGAAAGTTTTAAATGCATTTTCATTGATTTATATGACTCCTATCCTATAGTCCACAGAAGGAGTTTGGAGTAGCATTTTACTCTGGCAGAAACTCCACAAGAAAGCTGAAATGAATGAAAGCAGGGCATATACAATCCTAGTTGACATTTGAACCTAGGTTTTTTGGTTCAAGACACTAAAGATGGGATATTGTAGAGGAGAACAGAAATAACCTTGGAACATGTTTTACTAGTGGTTACCGCAACATCATGTTCTTGGTTTCAGATATATAGTACTGCAAATGTAGTATAGAGTGTGTAACAGATTATATTTTTTTAAAGAAACTGAAGCAGAAAAAGATTTAAATATGTTACAGGGACAGGGACACACTGTGGTAAAACGGTATTTCTAAAACAATAACACAAAAGTACAACCTAATAAAGAGTTTAGATGAAAACCTTCTAGAGAAAAGGGAGCTGAAATATTTGGAATGTCTTTTTCTTTAAACAAAACATGGCCAGCTTTTTGATATTTTGGGGAGGAAAATGACTTCCTGAGAATGAAATGGAAATGAATTACTCAGAAGATCCATCCTGAACGTGATGGGAATCATAAACGTATACATTCAAAGAATTTTCATAGCAGTTATGGAATAGCTCAGTTACCAAGAAAATTGAAGACATCAGAGGTATCTGCGGGTAATCAAACACAGATTCAGCTTTGTGCTGAGAAAATCCTGAAGGATCAAAATGCATGATTGCTAAACTCGATAAATGTAGATTTAGAGTCTAAAAAGAGCACAGTTTAAATGTATTTAACTCTGCTAATATGTCAGGTTGGTTCCTCAAAGGTGCTTAATATTGACCTGCAGGAATCCTGGCTATAACATTAGGCAAAGTTAGGCAATCCTCTCAAGTGGATTGCCAAGAAGATGAAAGAACAGCAGCAGCAGCAGCAGCCTTTAAGACCCGTGTATTCCAGGCCATCAGCTCTGACTCTCTAAATTAGGAAACTGCTGTTCCATCACCATCAAAGCAAGATTCCTCTATTAGAAGGAATGATACTTTTTTGTGAAGGCTCTGGTGGACGGGTGCAATACAAGTAACCTGGTTCTAAACGTTAATAAAACTAAGGAGATCATTGTAGATTTTAGAAAGAACTGGCATGGTCATACGCCATTCAGTATTACAGAGGCATCTGTACTGGTGGTCAACCAGAGGTGAGTCGAGGTGGTGCAGTGGTTAGGGTGCAGTACTGCAGGCCACTTCAGCTGACTGTTATCTGCAGTTCAGCGGTTCTAATCTCACCGGCTCAAGGTTGACTCAGCCTTCCATCCTTCCGAGGTGGGTGAAATGAGGACCCACACTGTGGGGGCAATATGCTGACTCTGTAAACCGCTTAGAGAGGGCTGAAAGCCCTATGAAGTGGTATATAAGTCTAAGTGCTATTGCTATTGCTATTGCTACTCAGCCAGTTCTGACCGGTTATAGCAAACCATTAACAGAAATTTTGAGTAGTTCGGAGAACTGGCAAATATCACCTCTGGCTGGCTCTGCCCCCATCTATTTGCTGACTCCCAAGTCCCAGCTGACAGGCTGGGTCTTCTTCTGTTGCCTTGCACAAGAGAACAGAGCTGGAAAGCAGGTTAGTGGGGTGGGGAGGGAATGGGGATTTTACAGTATCTTTGCCCTGGAGTCAGTGGAAATGGAGATTTTCCCTGCCATGCCCACCAAACCACACCCATCAAGCCACACCATGCCCACAGAACTGGTAGTAAAAAAATTTGAATCCCACCACTGTCAGGTCAACAATATTAAATATCTGGGGGTGCAGAAACTAACAATCTGTACTGCTCTCTCCACAAGTCGTCAAGATGCAAAACAGTATTTCCTGTGTTCAGACGAGAAGAGGACATGTTTCTCCTTCTGTCCTGGCCACTTTTTATAGAGGAATGATTGAGAATGTTTTAACAAACTGCATCGCTGTTTGGTTTGGTGGCTGTGGTGCCTGAGATAGAAAGTCCATACATAGAGTGGTAAGGACAGCCAAGAAGATTTTAAGAAGCTTGTTTCTTGTCATTCAAAATACTGCTTATAAGCTCTATGTGCTTAGAGCTCAATGAATTGTCAGAGAATTCACACACCCATTTCACAGTCTGTTTCTGTTGCTTCCCTCTGGGAAGAGATTTTGAAGTGTTTCCAGCAGGACTACCAGATTCTGTAACTACTTTGTTCCCTATGCCATTCGTCTGGCAAACTTACAAGATTCGTTTCTCTCATCATGTACATGTTTACATCCAAACTAGAATATGTTGTTTCTCCATGTCATATATTTGGGTATATGCATACTTTTTATTTATTTGCTTTTTTAGTTATGTTTATGTAGTGTATATTATTGGTGGAGACTCTTTGAGAGTTTTGTGCAGTGAAATTTCATTTTAATGTGTGCCGATTAGTGTACATTCAAAATGATAATAAAGTTAAAGTTATTCTATTCTATTCTCCTTTAACACAGAGACCAAACTTTGTTTGTTTGTGGCTTTATTATTATCATGTGTCCTACCCTATGGAGTCTTCTAAAGGAATAGTTCTAGCATTGTGAAAGTATCCTGGAAAAATATTGCCCTATCAAAATGCTGATTTGTGACATTTAGGAATGTACAGATACTCCTTAACTTACAAAAGTTCATTTAGTGACCATTCAAACAGCCAGGAAAAAAGTAACTTATGACCTTTTTTCACAATAACAACCATTGTAGCATCCCCATTATCATGGGACCAAAATTTAAACACTTGTGATAGTTGCAGTGTCCCGGGATCAATGTGATTCCTGCTTTGCGACTTCTGACAAGTAAAGTCAATGGGGGAATGTTATTAACATCACAGCTACAGTAATTTGTTTAACAACTGTTGTAGAGAGGTTGTAAAATTGGGTGAAACTTAATAAATGTCTTACTTAGCAACAGAGATTTGGGGCTCCATTGTGGTTATGCGTTGAGGGCTACTTGTATAGATTTTTTCCCATATTTGTCTACGTTAAATAATCTTTATTTGCAGGATACTGGTTGTGGTGATACAACCTCCTTGCTCAGGATAAATTTGCATTAAAAATAATTTACTTGATGTCCTTTTTGGTCTGTTTGGTTGCTTAGTGAATATGTGTTAATATTATTTATAGGCAAATTGTATTGGAATGACCAATAATATAACCAAAATATAAACATCTTGCATGCCATTATTTATCTAAATTTACTGGAGAAGTAAATATGATATTATTTGAATGTACAATTAAAAACAAACTGCAATGAGAGCAATTATTGCTTTGGTTAAGAAGGAACAATTTGCTTTGCTATTTGCTACTGTACTTGGGTATACAGTGGCTCTGGATTATGATCACTTATTCAGTGACCATTCAAACTTACAATGATGTTGAACAAGTGGTAGTCCTCAAAGTTCTGGCCATCACAGCATCCCTATGGTCACAGGTACTTAGCTACCTCCAATTATTACATCCCAGAATGAGCCATGGTCACATGATCACAATTTCTGAAGTTCTAAAGCAATCAATACTTGATTCATAATAAATAGATGTATGCAGGAAAGCAGTTTATCTACAAATTCTATGGAAGGATTAGTAAAAGTAATTTTGTAATTAAAGCATACAGGAAAATTAGTGACATTTGGCTTAAGACATGTACATATAATAAAAAAAATTATGGACTTCAATTTTCATAGAAACTTCTTACATTTCCCTCCTCTTAAAAAAAGGAACTTACATTAAGGAAAGAATGGGTATTGTTTTTCACTGTTTAATTAAACTCTATCCAATTGTCACAAAGTAAAATTCACTGACAAAGGCAAAATCAATATATCTGCAACTTGTTACCTGAACAATTTAAGCAGGACTCCCCAAAAAGGCACCTTGTAAAATGGGTTTCTCTGTGATTATGTCCAGCCAAAGTGCTGAGGAGCATGAAACCTTAGCATGATGTGGATTGTAGTTCCACAGAATGCTTTTGACTCCAAACTTATTTTACTTATTAGCTTTATTTTACTATTAGCTTTATGTTATGTTTAAAAACTTTACTCTGTATTTTCTATTATATAATTTGTGCAGGTAACTTTTCTACCTGCTTAAATAGAAAGGTAGAATATAAATCAGTTTAATAGGTAAAGTAGATGGAAAGCATTAACCTTGGAAAAAAAACTACATTAAAGTTTTTTTTACAAAACTATTACCTGTTGGGCTTCCCCTTTGCCTTCAAAAAACATGCTTAATAATGGGTTCATACCCAAATGGACATGCAATTTTAATCTTCTTCTGAGTACAAAGGAGAATAGTGCTCTTAGGGATGTTCAGGACAATGCTCATATGTTCCCAAGGCACTAAAGCCCTTAAGGTTTCTCGGTAGTCTTTGATACCTTTGGCTATAGTATCATGCTGATGATCTTTTCAGTGGTGAGTGGGGACCTCTCCTTCCCCACTACCAACTTGAATTACCACTTGAAGGAGTACCCCTAATCCTTCCTCTACCCACATGGTCCAGTAGATCACTGATCATTACTGGGCATCCACTCTGCCTTTAAAAGGATTCTTCTTTGACCAGAATGTTCCTTCAAATACTGGGTTAATCAATTGATTTTAAAAAGTTGCATAAATTTCAGGCATGGAGCTCACTACTACTTTTAGACCAATCTGTTTTTTCAAGTTCAGTCTATGCAAGAGAACTGTCCCTATGGAGGAGTATAATGAAGAGAAACCTTGCTGATGCTGAGTCAATACTGAAAGAAAAAAAGGGGGATATAAGTGCAGTGTACTTACTGCAATATTAATAATATGTTACTTACTGTCCAAGCAAGGTTCACAAACAGTTTGGTTTACTCCACAAGGTTTGGCAACTCCTTCCCCAGAGTTACAGGCTTGGCAGCATTCCCCACTGATAGTAAATTTCCCTGTGGAGCACTGTTCCTTGGTCTCTGCTGAACCCTGGGCAAGAGAAAAAGCAGAACACAAATGGTAAAATCACTTCTAACCCTGCACACAAAGATACTCCCAAAGATACTGCTTTTTGCTACAGGCAAGCTCCAGGACTTGGCCAAGAAGATTTATCAGATTGGCAAATAAAAAACAAAAAAATGTATGCATTGGATCATTGGTGTGGAATCAAGGAAATTGACTTAACTGAAGATCCCACCCCCCCTCTAATGGGCTTCATGCATCCCAACTGCCCAAAAGGGAAATTTCTTAAACCCTGTGCTGTCAGTAAAGGAAGATATTTGTAGCTCAATGAGGGTCCTTAGTGCTCTCTGAGCTTGATTGTTTTCTTGCAGATATTTCATCATCCGAACTAGGTAACATCTGGATAACATCCTCAGAGCACTGATTATGTTACCTAGTTTGGGTAATAAAACATTTGTAAGAAAACAACCAAGTTCAGAAAGTAGCATGACCTTTCATCTCTATTCTCAGAGTTGCAATCTATTAAATAGATTCATTATTTCTCAGACATTTCTTAGGCAGTGATAAAGCTGCAAATTCATGCTGTACAGATCAGGGTGAGAACATAATTACATAGGCAACATTTAGTTTGAGTGAATGGCCACAAAATTTCTTTTTAGAATTGGAAAGTTGTGGTGACTTGGTGAGAAGCCCTATAGTTTGACCTAATGTACGATCATTTTAATCAGATATTAAGTTTATCTCAGTTGGCATTCCTACATTAGAAGCAAACAGAAACCCAACTGAGCCCAACTACATTCTTCAAAAATCTGGATGTGCTGCCCTACAATTTTCACACTTCTCAGGACAGTCAAGCCAAAGTCTTCTGTGAACTGTGGCCTATGGAAATTGTACTAAAGCATATCTGGAAAGTATCCATCTGGAGAAATCTGCTTTAGTCCTTTAGATGAACTAGACCAGGGGTAGTCAACTTTTTTATACCTACCGCCCACTTTTGTATCTCTGTTAGTAGTAAAAACTTTCTAACCGCCCACCGGTTCCACAGTCATGATGTTTTATAAAGTAGGGAAGTAACTTTACTTTATAAAATGTATAAAGCGGAGTTACAGCAAACCCGCCCACCATGAAAGCTGGAATGCCCACTAGTGGGCGGTAGGGACCAGGTTGACTACCACTGAACTAGACCATTTTAAAGAGTGACCAGTCATAGCCATTGGTCAGATGGTGATCTGGAAAGTACAAGTAGACAGCCCTGAATATTTTGAAGAGCAAGATTTCAAACTTAATGTATAAAATCCTGTGCATCATCTGCATCATTTCCATTTACAATTTCCATATTAAACAGGAAGATTTTAGTGCAGGATATAATCACCAACTTCAGAGTAACAGTGTAAACTTGTCATTTTTATCTGAACAATCAAGAGCATAACCTTAAAACTTCAGGTTCACATTCAGTGTCCAGAAGCTCATCCCCAAGTTGCCATTAAACTATAAATGTTGACATAATAAAGGAAAAACACAGGTATAATAAACTATTTCCTTATTTGTTAAATGTCTATATCGTCACAATCTAAATCACATTTGGAAGTCTACTGGCAGCTAAAGCAGAGTAAATATGATTCTGGCACCTAATACCAATTGGTAAATAGACTACAAATGACTAGGTATTCATTTTGCCTAAACTGTGATATCTGTTAGATCATTAAAGGCAGCCCCATGAGGATGCATTGCGAAAATGCTATGAGTTTCAAAATCCCCTGAGTGCAGGAAAGGCTCAACAGGTGTCCCATTTTGAGCCAGGCAAATGATTTCCTAGATATAGCAATAGCCATTAGTCCAAGAGGACCCCCCCCTCCCAAGTTACAAACCTGCTGCTTCAGGGGCAATGCCACTCCCTCAAAAGGCCACACAGGAGCAGATGGAGAGCCTTGATCAGCAAACAGTAGTCCTGTCTTTTGGGGTTCAACTTCACCTTTTTTCTTCTAATCCAAGCCCCAACAACCTCCGGACATTGGAAAAACATCACCAGCTGTTATACAAAACAGCCAAAGAAGGAATGTGAAGAAAGAACCAGTTGAGGGGGGAGAGGAGAGAAGTGGGAACAACCCATTTCAGAAAACTTTCATCCATGGCAACATCACTGTCAGATCTCCTATCTTGAATTCAGCAGAAACACTTGAAACTGCATGGCTAAATGCATGTTTTACTGCATTCCAAAATGATGCCACTGTAGGGAGTCAATTGCCATTTGCCAGCTTGAGGGCATACTTCCCTTATACCCTTGCAATTTAGGCTGGCTAATTCTTTTTCCTGCCCTTCCCCTGACTTAACGGATACTTTGCTTTGCATTTCTCATGCTTCATATTAAGTGACAATTTAACGTTGACATAACAAGACATTCCTGCCTTGAGAAATGTGAGTTCTCAACATACTCCTTTGCATCTTTTATACCCCTTCCTCTTAAAAGCATCTGGAAGGATCGGGGACTATTCCTCATTCCCGATTCAGAGAGGCAGAAAGAAAATTCTGTTTCCTTTCATGTTCCCTGTTGCCATTGCAGATGGCCTCCAGAATAAAAGTGTCAGGAATGGGTGGCATTTCTGCTTTTCCTTTTTGGTTTCTATCACAGAAGACCCATCTTTTGCAGAAGCTAGTGAGATGCTCCTTTTCTCTTTCTAGAAAAAGATACAATCTCCCTGTGTCAGAGCTGAAAAGCAATAGATCTATCCCTGCAGCTCCTTCCTTATTCACCTAAAATTCTGCTTGTATCCTACACCAAGTCTCCTTCCTTGGAATTAGAATCTCTGCCAACTTTCTCATGTAGCCAATCACATAGTTTACAGAGGTGCTTCAGGTGGATTTAATAAAAAATATGAAATGTGTGCACATCACTTACGGCTTTCTAGGAAGTAGCCTTACAGTGTATCAAATTCTCAAACCATTCTTTTGCAGTGAGGGAACAAAATGAATCCACCTTGAACAACTCCTTCACTTCTACAGAGACAGAAATAGATTCAATGAACAAATTTTGGATTCTCTGGAGCAGAAGGTAAACCTTGACAGGGAATGAAATGAGATAAATGAAATAAATCTTAGATACTTGGCTTTACATTCCCCAGGCATAATGCTAGATGATAGCAGGCTGCTAATATCAGAATTCTTGCCTTAGAAAATTCTAGCCTGCAATATAGTTCCACAACCACTGCTCACATCCTTTTGCCCAATAAAATGGATGGAAAATGGAGATCATATGCACCAGGAAAAATCCAGTAAAAGCCAGAAGGCTATAAGGCTATAAGGCTCCTGCTGAAAAGAAGGATATGTATCTTTAATAAAGCTCCTCTGGAATTGATTTAGATGTCTGATTGTTACATGAATACATACATGGTTTTTTTTTTCTAGTAAGGACGTGAGTCCTTTCTTCACAATGATATTTACAAATATATTTTAAACATCCCAATCTAGCCTACAGGCTTCTCAAGTTCATGCCAGGTCCAATTTGCATAGCATTTTCATGTTAAGATCAGTCAAAGTCAGGCATTTGCTTCCAACTACCAAGAAAAAAAAAGAGATTTAAAGCTGAACAATGGCAACTTTTTCTAAAGTCGATAGAAAATTTATCAATATTAACAATCCTCATTTAAGCACAGCATGCAATAAAAAAAACAAGAACTGGTGTAGCCAAGATTCTTTGATTTATCTGAAGACACAAGAAACAACAGGGCAGCAGAGAAGCCCAAGAAGGCTACTAAATTACCATAGCAGAAGTCTGAATATTAGAAAATTGATATTAGTAGAAGTTGGGAAGAGGCAAAAGGTCTTCCCTTCCAGATGCATGTTAATGAACTGGGCTTGCAACTTAATTGGAAAAGAACAAGAAATGCATGAAGAATTAAAGGTTTACTTTGGAAATGATTAGAAAAAAGTGCACCTGACCTCACACAAACATAGCATTGCCTGCTATTTGCTAAAGCACCCTTACTATTTTTCAGCTGACATTAAAGTTAGTGTGATTCTTAAAGCACTTGCTACCTTTTTCCCAGAGGCGGTTTTTTCCCCCTACCAGTTCACTCGTGGATGTGCACATGCACAGAAGCGTCCGAGTGGATGGGCGGATCCTCCTGCCACCGCTACTGCTGATTCGCCCGATCCAGGCCGAACCGGGAGCAACCCACCTCTGCTTCCCCCGCCCCCCAGATGAAACCTAAAAAGTGTAAACTTTTAATGAATATTAGGGAGGTGCTGTGTTTCAGCACTTTAGAAACATACACAGCCCTATTACAAAAGATCAAATTACCCAGTAACATCCCAATAAAAATTAACAAAAGATGAGAGTTCATCAGCTATTGATAAAATCAGAGCAGGAAATCAGTACAGAGAAAGTTCTTTTAATTATTTTTGTAATTTCTTTTGAGGAGTGTAGTAAAATCTTTTTTTTAACCTAGAGGTACTTCTGTGTGCACAGAGCTGGGGAAGTAAATGTTATAAATGCCAGATTTAACTACAGGGAAAGCTCATAAATCTGGCTTGAACTACAGATGTGGCAGAATTAGCTACTTTCTTTTGGTAGGTGTTGAAACTGATAGTGAATTGATTTCTCAAACTGCAGTATGTTCCTTACTTCCTTGACATTATTCATTGCTGGGCAAAACATTACAGCTCTGCCACTATACAATTGAAAATATGCCTTCCTTAGCTATGTTAGGGTTACAATTATGCTTTCTTTGAAGAAGTACTTTTGTCATGATCCAAGTACTGTTAACCTTGTATACTCAAAATGAAAATGGAAGGATCTATTTTTCAGTGGCCTCTTCCAATAATGTGGTTTTATTATTCCATTGTTCAGTAGAAAATCTCCAGTACAAATGCAACAATTGTATAATCTCTGTTTAAATTCAAATGCAGAAGAACTTATAATATTCTGCTAAAAAGCTCTTCCGTAGTTAAAAATCTCTTCTACCTAGGAAATTTCTCAGGAATACATTGTAAAATCTGTTTTCTTGACATTTCCATCCATTACTTCTCAT